GTAGGTAGGTAGGTAGGAGGAGGAGGAAGGAGGAGGACGGACGGACGTACGTACGTACGTACGTACGTACGTAGTAGTAGTAGTAGTAGTAGTAGAGAGAGAGAGAGAGAGAGAGAGAGAGAGAGAGAGTGTTAGGACCGTCCTTTTTGATAGCTAAAACCGCATTTTGGGCAGAAAATTTATGAAAATTTTGAGCAGAAAATTTTAGTTGAATTTCGAACTTCAAAAATTTATGAAAGTTTTGGCCCAGTGTCATGTTGGATTTTTGTGGGCATCTTTGGATGTGATTTAGCTTGAAAACCTTTTGAGTTTGGCTTTTGTGAGAGAGAGAGAGAGAAGGGGGGTGGGGGGTGCTTGTTCCTTGGTGCCCAAGCCGGCTCTCAAAATGCCTAGGCATGTATCTTCGCTTTCTTGAACATTGAATAAATATTGAGTCCTTGCACTACTATTGGTCTTGAAGTTGTTGTACTTTGAACACACAAACTTGCAGTGTTTCAAAAAGCGCTAGGCGGCACTTAGGCAGGCGGGGGGGGGGGGGGGAAGGGGGGGGGGGGAGGGGTTCTGGCCGCCCAGCGCCTAGGCGGGAGCCCAGAACCTGGGTGGCCTAGTAGATTTTTTTTTTTGGGTTTTCTCTATCTAAAATAGTCTCTAATGGGTTTTAGGTTTCAAATGAACCGAAAACCCACAATTTTACCCCTTTAGTATTAAAAAAATGACACAAAAATACCTTCAAGGAGCCGTATTTCTGCCTTTGGGCGGGGCGCGGCCCTGGGTGGTCGCCTAGGTGGGTTTAGGCAGGCGCCTTGGGATATCTCCCTAGTTTGGCTGCCTATGCCTGGGCAATACACTCAGGTCTTCTGGATTGCCTAGGCGTTGGGCGGTCCGATTTTTAAAACAATGCTAACTTGATTTGATTATGCCTTTATCAATGGGGATCTGCATGAGGTGGTGTACATTTTTTCGACTTTTGGTTATTGCTATCAAATATTTTACTCATTTCTTGGTTTTTTAAGGCATTATACTCAAAGAGGCTTTTGATGCTTACATTGAGAAGTTTTGCATGTCAAAAATAGCATTTGGCCTCCTCTAGGTGTTGGTGTGCTAACTTAATCTCACTTCTTCGAGCTGGACAATGGCAGTCATTGTTTGTACTGATGGTGTCGTGTCTACTGTCTATGGCCAGGTGGCTCTATCTTGGCTTAAGCCTCTCTTAGTTCGATACCCTTGATGTCACAATTGTTGTATTTTTTAGCCCTGGATGTTTTTGGATGTCCTTGTTTTTGTGTACCTCCATAGTATAACTCATAGTCAATATGACATTTTACTCTTCTGAACACCGTAATCCAAAATTCTTTGCTGAAATGGGTGATCGTTTTATTGGCCCTACCCATTTTTTGACAATTTGTTGTGACCATTGTGTATTTGACACTGGTCAGCAAAAATCATGGATATGTTTTATGTTCATTTGTCACTTTAACTACTTAGAAGTCGAAGCCCTGGGAAGTTCATGCCACAATCTGAGACATTTGCTCCTCCCCTTAGCATCTTCTGATTTCTTTATCAACACAACTTCAGCTTATTACCTATTTTGGTTGATAGTGGATAGTTTGTTTAGGTAACTTGTTGATCTGCCATGGGGTACAATGTTTTTGTACAATATTTCTTATAGAAGATTTAGATGTGGGACACGGACTTAAAATCCTATAGATGACTAATTTTGCGCTACATGAAACAAGTGTGGACAGGTAGTTGGGCTCTGTGCACTCCTTTCAAATCTGGGTGTTTATTGTCATCCGTTTACACCATTAGATTGTGAAATTCTAATTGTCTTTCAAATTGCATGCAGTGGTTAGGGTACCCAGATGAAGCTCTGTGTCTGCTTGTCATTTCATTATGCAGGAAATCCTTTCTATTATATCTTGTTATCTTGTTATCTCACATTCCCATCTTTCATCCTATTGATAACTAGTCTGCAGTATACCAAAGATCTAGATCGAGATCGGTAGTGGTATGTATACCCTTGCTGGATTGTTGAACACCTGGTTTGGTTTGATTGGATTGGTTTGCAGTGTCTTGTTTCTCTATATTTGTCTACGTCATTAACTTGTTTTCTTTGAGGCAGTGTTTTGTCTTCTTCTCTGAATTATCTTGTAAGGGTAAATGGAACTATTGGCCATTTCACGCACACTAGGGAAATAATTTTTCATTGACATTAATGAAGTTATTTTTTGCCTTTTGAAAATATTACATTTTCAAAACTTGGAAAGAATTAGTTGATTGTGTTCTATTAATTTTTGTTGCTTTTAATTAGTTGATAGGAAATGGCTGCTTTTTATATGAATTTTCTTTTTGTTTTCTACAGATACCCCTGTGTCATATCCCTGACGATGTTTACAAAACATCAGTTGACTGGATTGGTAAGCGAAATGCTGATGCACTTGGTGAATTTGCCTTGTGGGCATTGGATAATATTCTCACTGACGTTGGGGCCCAACAAGGAGGCCTTAAGAACGCAAAAAAATTGACTCAACAACCATCATATAGGGCACAGGTAATTTGAGTTTCCTTGTGTATATCAAGCTTTTATTGCAATGAAAAAAAGGTAATTATACTAGAAGTCAATGGGTGTGGCCTTTGATAGAGAAGCATGGAGGAACAAGATTCATGTAGCCAACCCCAAATAATTGGGATAAGTCTTGGATGATGATGATGATGATACTAGAAGTTAATGGGCTATGAAACACAATTGTTCATGGGGGTCATCAATCTCTAATGAAGGGATGGATGGCAATGGAGATCAGGACCCACTATATGGGTCATGTCCTTTAGAAGGCGCTACTCTCTCACTACTGTTATCCATCATTTCATAGGACAGTGATGATCCCAACATACTATGGTCTTCTATTGTCAATTACATATGTGCTATCTAATAGTGTCTCTTTGGAAGCATTGTTTCCTCTATCCTAGTACAACGTGCATTCTTATTTATCATATTCTTCTTTTCTTCCTCCCTTGAAGAGCTCTTTAGTACCCAATGAAAATTTAAATTTTAGCAGGCTTTTGTTGCATCAGGTGATGCACCTATTCATATGCTGTCCCCCTTCCAAATTCTGTCTTAGATATGGAATGTGGATCCACAATTTCATAGGTTGATATTCTTGATCATCATGATCATGAATGTGAAAAAGAAATTGAATGGATTTAAATTTTGTTTTGTTTTGGGGCCATTAGTTTTATTTCTTCTCAGATCATCAGATTTGGGACATTTTTTTGTGGTGCAAGATTATGGTCCTAAGCTGAAATGTGTTTGAGTAACAATATATGTTTCAAATCCTAAATCCCTGAAAAAACAGGGTGGACTCGAATCTGGGGACACACAATAAAGTTTTTATTTATTTATTTATTCTCAGAAATTTACTTGACGCGCTAAATTAAATGCAAAAGTATCTCCTCCTCCTTTTATGTACATATATATATGAAAAATATAAAGAGATCATTCAGTTTTGGCACAAGGAGGTTACAATCACTCTTACCTATCAGATTTTAAATTGGCTAGTTATGAATGTGTCACTAACTAGATTTAAAATTCAAAACAAATTTCTTGAACATCATGACAACTCAAATTGTCCAATTTGAAATCGGATGGTTAGAGGTATTTGTGACCTCTTTGTAACAAAGGTAAATGGTGTCATAGTATACAATCCCATATATATATACATAAACACACACATATAGGGTGCGGTTTGTATAGAGCCTAGGCTCTAAACAATCAAATTAGTGCCTACCTTCAAACAGTGTCGAGAAATGTGGTTTCAATATTGGAAATCTTGGTGATAGCCTTAAAATATATTTTCATCCTTATTTATGAAGTTTAAAGCTTAAAAAATAGTGTAGATCGACAGATCTATGAAAACTTGAAAATCTGGAAAATTGACGGTCCAAAAATGCGTTACAAAATACGCTATTTCCAAAACTTGAAATCAATTTTTTTTTCATGTCCATGGATATTGATGTCGAGATGATCAATTTGAGGTAATTTGAGCATCAAAACAACATCTTCTAGTGAAATTTTTGAGATAGGCTTTAATTTGATTGTTTAGAGCCTCGATTCTAAATAAACTTT